GCAAATGTGGATTACCAGAAACAGCTCTGTCTTAGCTCTAAGAAGAGGTTAAGGCTATGGGGGGAAAAATAAGTTAAAGGGGTCATATGATGTTGCTAAAAAGAACATTATGTTGTGTATTTGGTGTAATGCAATATGTTTATGCGGTTTAAGGTTATTTTCCGCATACTGTACATTATTGTTTCTCCTCTATGCCCCGCCTTTCTGAAACGCGTCGATTTTTACAAAGCTCATCGGTCTGAAAAGCAAGGTGTGCTCTGATTGGCCAGCTATCCAGTGCATTGTGATTGGCCGAATACCTCAAGCGTGTGACGGAAATGTTACGCCCCTTAACATACTGTGATGCCGTCTCCCAGCAGGATGAGACTCAGACCAGCTGCTCTGCTCGTGCACATCCCATCATCGGTTCTCTTTTAGCAGTTCAGTCAATGTACTGTTAGGAGTAACTGAATAACTCGGGATATTTGAATAACTGTACAACTGTAACTGAATAACTCGGGAATAACTTAAGTAATTTGTGGATTAGTGCGTACTGGAGACGCGAACCGTTTCAAACGATTCAGTTCGATTTGGTGAACTGGTTCGACCGGTTCACTAAGAAGATCCGGTTAAATAGAGCGATTCGTTCGCGATCCGGACATCACTAGACGAGACAAAACCAATACAGGTTACTTTCCCAATGAAGCACACAGCGTGTTCACGACATGGCGGCGGCAGCAACAATACTACAGCGAGAATAAAAGTTACGCCTTCTTTCTTTGCGTGAACATTTGGGCGGCGTTATGCAAATCTTCCCAGATAGTGACATAGACATGTGGGGGCATGTTAGAACGAGGCGTTTTAGGAGGGCGTAGTTGACTCTTAACGTTTATAAAGAATATCTCTTTGGATTTGAGACTTTAGTCTTTGCAGATCCGGTTAAATAGAACGATTCGTTCGCGATCCGGACATCACTAGACGAGACAAAACCAATACAGGTTACTTTCCCAATGAAGCACACAGCGTGTTCACGACATGGCGGCGGCAGCAACAATACTACAGCGAGAATAAAAGTTACGCCTTCTTTCTTTGCGTGAACACTTGGGCGGCGTTATGCAAATCTTCCCACATAGTGAGGTAGACATGTGGGGGCGTGTTAGAACGAGGCGTTTTAGGTAGACGTGGCTGACTCTTAACTTTTATAAAGAATATCTCTTTGGATTTGAGACTTTAGTCTTTGCAACTTTACAGATCTTCTTTATGCACCAAGAGCTTGTAACACTTCAAAGAGAAAGGAAGAATTGAAATCGCATCATATGACCCCTTTAACTTTAAAATAACCTACTGAATAATAATCCAACAGTAACGATTAGAATATTTTAAGAAAACCATATTAATTAGAAGAATTTAGTTTTTTTTTTTTTCATCAGTTTCACACTCCTCCCCAGTAGGTGGCGGAAATGCACCAAAGCTGGCTTGCCAACTGCCAGAAAATCCAAAAGAAGAAGAAGAGGAAGCAGAGCTATTTATTCTGAAATGCAGCTCACCGGAAATGCATTGAGACCATGCGGTCACAAAATAGATTGTTAAAGGCAGTTTCAGTTTCAATGCTGTTTGTTGTTTTATTTTTGTATAATTTTTGTTTTTTGCTGTTTTAGTACCTGGCTGAAAAGGAGCGCAAGGTCAGTTACGTATATTTACACATTTATATGGCATATTTTGTTTTTATGCTCATTTTTATGCTTGGCCTATATGTGTTTGCATAATTAACATGAAGTTGTTTATCATTGATGTTAGTCTTAATTTTTCTCATTTTGTTATAGCCAATTGTTTCTTTTCATTTCTGTGAATTCCTTGCAGATACTGATATTGTTTTGTTTGCTTGTTGTAGCTCTTATGGTGCTGTGGAGCCGAATAAGATGTATTGCGTTAAGCACAGTTACAAACAGTGCAGGAGCCAATTTCTTTATTTGAACGTGACTGCTACAATCACCAGCAGCCGCATGCTTTCATGTTGTCTAAATTCTGTGTAGCATGTGGCTGGTGTGCTTTTATGTCATGTTATGTGTGCACATGCAGTCAGTGAGCATTCTCATTGGCTGTCTGAGCTGCAGTCCTGCCACTGCTGGGACTGTGTTTTGGGGGTGGTTGATTTTGTTTTGTTTGTTTATTTTTTGAAGTCTAATAAAAAGCCGATTAAGCTCTGCATCCTTGAGTCCTTCTTCATCCCTTGCCTCAACTGACAATAAGTAACATTAAAAAATATATCTGCACACCATATTTTTCACAAATTCTTATATATCACATAGTATTATCAAAAACTTATTTTACATTTATTTTATTTTGTTTGTGAAATCCGTACTAAGACTCTATGACATATATCAGTGACATATCCACACAAACTCATAGAAAATAACCAAAACAATCCAAGGTTAACTAGATCCTAGTGAACTGGCAAATTACAGACCCATCTCAAATCTTCCTTCTATGTCTAACATTTTAGAAAAAGTTGTGTCTGCTCAACTGCATGCCAACCCTGAAACAATTTACAGAACTACCACATTCTGCTATAAGTTTGATTGCATCATATAATACTTGCTGTTAATGGTGTTCATCGTCTGTTTGATAGTGTCTTTAATTGATTTTTCCATACATTTCTGCCATGTGTACATTATCTTACAGTCACCACTGATAAGCTACCACTAAATATTGTAGAAACTAATTTGCTGTAAAGTTGCTTTGCAATGATTTGTATCGTGAAAAGCGCTGTACAAATAAACTTGACTTGATTTG